AGACTTTAGGAACACCATTTATTGTTAAGGCTGGCTGTAAAGAGCTAAATAGGCGTTCGGAAGGTTTTAGCTCTCCTAGCTGGTGTGTTAGGACTCTGAAAGATGCATTTAGATGAGAATATATGTAGTGGTTTGATCTTTCGATTACAATGTAATGCCAACAAAACGATTGTCCAACGCGTCATGACAATGGAACCTTAGCTCATCATTCAGACGAGTTTTACTGGGTACGCCCTGCATCCTTAAACCTCGGAATGGTTTTGTGCGACTTTTCAGGATAATTTCCACTTCAAAAATCTATTCAATGGCGTGTGCGACGAGAAATCATTTTATGTACGATTAGCAGTAGTCGGAAGAGAGAGGAGGCTGTTAGGATAGACAACTTGCAGAAACAGCAAGCACCTGTCATCTCCGGCGCCAAAAGTGGCCCCATTGTAGTAAATGTTGAACTTACGTATTGTATCGGTCGGAAATTTATGCACTAGAACAAGAGACGTGCAAATGACCAAGTAATTCTAAAAAGAAATATTACATAGGTGACATTTGGCTGGCTGTTTGTAAATAAGCAAAAGCACAACTCTTAACCTGTACGGTTTCTGCTGACCATGTTGTGTAGTCTGGAGACTGTGCATTCATTTACTATGACAGAACCTTAGGCAGAATCAGGTCAAAAGACGATATGAAGTCATCAGAAAGAATAATGTCGAAACAAGTAAGGAGTGGTTGTCTGTGAGACAAAAGAATTAGGGATAATAAAATGTGAGGGGTTGGTAGGACTCGACTGCAGTAAATAGCGACCTGCTTAGTATAATATCCTAATCTTTTCGGTTTCTGTCATTTCTCAGCGTTCTCTTATTTCGCCGTGGATCTAGATCATCCACAAGTCTGCGAGCTGTCAAGAAACCAACTTAGGCCACAGAATACAACAAACCACTAACACATACGATAACTAGTGCAAGAACCATTTAAAACACTAGAATCAAGTGCCAAGTGAGAGGAGGTCAGCCAGCCCAGTTCCTCTTCAGAGTTGAAACTGAGAGGCCTTATAAAGGTGGTCTGAGGCCCCACATCACCTTAATAAGGCCTTTCAGGTTCTGGATAACCATAAATACTTCAATTTCTATACATCGTAGAATAAAATCTTACGGGTTTCCTAATGCAAATATATCCTTCGTCTACTGTGGTTAAGTAGTTAGTATAGATAACTCGACTGCATTGAGTAACGTTTATATTTGGCGCGGCCATGAGGACTCGACTGTTGAAGAGACTTAGGAGCATAATAAAGTCTTGTTGCTAAAACTTTTCCATATGACTAGCGTTGCTCATTCTGTAAGGCACTTTTGACGGCAGCATTTGATGAAAACCTTGTATAAAACGAAAATCTCCAAAAGATGTACAACTTACTACATTGATCAGCAAGTAATAAAATACGAGTTTCATACAGTTGCAAAACGTAAACGTGGCAGATGAGGGAGGTTTTTGATCAGTAGCTTATGGAGGAATGACGGTTTGAACAGAAAAAAACCACGGTTTGATCATAAAACCAACGAACATACCTGGAATTTAAGTCGTGGGAGGATTTGCCAAATATTGCGTCCGAAATACCTCGACGAGACGTAGCGCCTTCAGCGGACTCCTTGGACTTATTGATTTTGTAGTTATAGGTACACACCCAACACAAAACCTGGCCATCCACTTTGCTTCTGCTGGCCTAAATAGGCAATATATTCTTGTAATACACCGGTAGAAATCGTATTTATTTCAGCTGTGTAAAAGGTATATAACAACCGGGCAGGATAGTGCCTAGAGCGGATGACGTTCAAGTTGCCACTAATAAACACTGCGAAGCCTAAATATGGTATAGTGTGAAGGATATCCGTAACTTTAAAAAGTTCAGAATTGGAGGGTGTGGTTGGGTGCGCAAGGGGATGGCATGTCGGTAACTGTATGCAGAAGTCACATGGTAGTTAACCCAATAAGAGATGCATTCAGGATTGACAATAAAATGTACTTAGGACGTGGAACATTCATAGGGAGACTACCTAGGTAGTCGCGCTATGAAGACAAAAATTAAACTGGTCAACTGAAAAAAGTAACAAGTCAAAGCAGTTCAGATCACTTTACCTCGTCCTTGTAAAAGGCACACATTTGCAAGCACTTTTCGCACTGTCTAGGGTCACCAAATTTGTTTCTGTAGTGCAAACAGCGCTGGCAGACCAAAGCGTTCCCGTAAGTTGTAGGCAGCAAACAAATGGAGCAGGGCTTTGGATCGCCATATTTAGCTTTGAGGGATTGACAACGAGGACACGCTGTTCCTGGACTAAGCACACAATAAACCGATATTAACAAAAGTTACATAGAATATTTGAAATCAGATTTGCAATATTCACATTGCTTGAAGGACGAGTGATGGGGCGTACAAACCTGCGCGGATAAAAAGGACAAAAGGATTTATTACAAACCTTACAAGTGGTTCCAGATCTTGCCATTTGAGACTGTGGAAAACTTTTTAAGCATCTTGTACACGAAAAAAGTGGCTGTTCCATGCCGAACGTCGCCCCAATCCAGATCCAGGCGGTAAGTCAAATCTAGCGCAGCGCGTATGGGTTTATTCGAAGACGGGTGTTTTACAAGCTTGAAGTTCAAAGTTATTTTTATGCCTACTATTTATGGGAATTTCCAAATATATATGCTAGTAATGTACTTAAGGTAAGATTATACCTGAGCTTTATGCTATGTTAGTGTAACCACGATCTAGCATTTTATTACTTGAGCAAATATGACTCCGCTTTTAGAACCGATCAAATTTTATGTGGCGTTTACCTTGCAAACACGCATACCACTTGCAAAGATCTGAAGAGATAGTATATCTGGACTGTATGATGGGACTTGAAACCTATTTCGTTTTTGATATAATTCACTTTCGGTAATATTCAGAAGCTTGCCTTCTTAAAATATGAAGAGATTTGAAAAAATAACCCAATTTAACATCGCAGAAATCCTTCTATTCAAGGTAATATTCAGGAACACCAATTGACTATTAGATGCTAGTTATCCAATACACAAGACAGGTTGTCATGAGATGAGTATGTGTTTGTCTGGCAGAACATATCATCCGTTCGGTAGCATGTGAGCAGTGATGTGTTGTTTAAACATTTGTGCATGTCCGCAGCAACATGAGGGCGTGACAATTCGAACACCTTTATCGCTGCTCAGGACGTGCCATCAGTCGGCTGCCAATTTCTCCCAACCATCCTTCCAAAAGATCTTTACAGAACACAGTATTCTCTCAGTTGTCGTCCCACTAATCTTTTTCATACTAATAATAATAATAAGGTTTATTTGTAAAGCACATCTACGGCGCCGTCAAAA